TATATTTGTATGAGTGAGCAATGCAAAATGATTGTTAACGAATACAAGAGAAGCCATAAAGTTAGAGCAATTGAGTTTAGCTGTAAAAAATGTTTAGTTTGAGAAGTTTTAGGGCAATAAAGTTTAGGATTATCAAATAAAACATTGATAAAACACGTGGATAATCAATTCCTAGGTCTAGATTGCTTGGTTCATTGTTCTTTATGGTAAACTAAAAATATTTATGCGAGATAGCATCAAATCTTAATTGTTCTCTTCTCCATTCTATCTCGATTTATAGATATTTATCCAAACCAATACCTAATTATTGAATAAAATAAGGTAAAACCAACATGCTTTCAAAACACTAAATAATTGGCAGAAACTAAAGTAAATGCAATGTATAAATTCAAAAATTAGATCATGAAAAAAAAAACTCAGGTACAAATTTCTTAATCAATCAATAAAGCACCCATCTTTGGTTCTTCTTTGACTAACATTCTCCAGAGAAACATATGCCATTAAGCAACACTTAGAAAACTCTCTATACAAGAATGGCTTAACATGTTTGCAAGTACAAGACAAAGAAAAGAAATATCTGCACATGATTTAAATGTTATACTCAAAACTTTCATTAAGTAATACAAACATACAAGTAGTCTGAGCAATGTTAGATGAAAGCTAAGCTAATTAAGTTCCCTTGCTAAATCATGTACAGTTCAAAAATATACGCTAAAAAAGGAAAAAAAAAGTCAACCCTGCTCTCATTTACATACAAAACACTAAAGCAAAGAGTCCAAATAGTTCAACCTTCAACAAAAACTAACAAAATCTTCGATGGATATATAAGTTTGAATTACCATGAGAATACATTATTATTACAAGTTAGGAAGGAGAAAAAAGGAATAAAAGTAAAAGAAGAGTTATATATTATTTCCTTATTCAAGCACAGGCAATGAATATAAGTTGATACGTTCACAGTTTATTAATAATCTATACAAAATATAGATGCAAAACAACCTGTCAGGGCTTTTAATAAAAAATTTATTCGTGCAAGGACATCTATTAAAGCTGGGAAAGAAAAAACACATCCTTACTTAGCTCATAGGTAAAGAAAACAAATATCAATTAAAGACCCGATGTAGCTAATGCTAACCAAACTGGGTAAAGCTTCTTCTCACCTCTTCATTCACCTTGTCAAAAAGCTCCGATTTTAACTCATGCAATTAGTCTTTGGCAGCAGCAGTCACAAAGAAAGTAAAAATGCCATCAGTCGAAGAAAAGAAGCAGTGGGGGTTTAAAGGATATTCAATCCAAGATGTGAAATCCATAATACTAATCAGATGCAATCAAAAGATAATAATGCAAAACAGAAATAAAACAAATATCACCCACAACTTTCTTCCTCCAGCTTTGCTCTCTGACCTACTCGACACCACCAAGATCGAAACAATCAGCTCCCACAGCATCGTCTGCCCCCTCCATTCTCTCCATGACAACTTCCGCTCACTCTCGACATCTCATCAAGTTAAAGCATAGCAGAATGAACCAACCCAACAGCAATTAAAGGGGACGAGATGAACGGAAACACCCAGGGCACTTACTAAACACAGAAGCGCAAGGACTAAGATTGGGGGATCAAACAATGATAAAACAAATGGAACGCTAAAGACGGTGAAGACATGGAGAAGAAGAAAATAGGGCTCTAACAGACGGGCAATGTCGGTGAAAAAATGGGGGCAGTTTTGGTAATGCGCTATTTAGGAATGCAAAATCAAAAAAAAGGACGGCGCATTGTTCATTTACTGTTCATTTACTGTTCACATGGCCATCCCGCGTTAATAAAGGTAATAGACTAGAAAACTAACTTGATCTCCTTGTAATGCACGAAGGGCTTTTGTGTTGATTTTCACATATAAGGGTAGTTAAATGTAATTTTTACATATTAAGGTACTTTATATGTAATTTAACAAGGTCTTATGTGTAATTTTTGCATGATCATACAACTACCTATTTTGAAAATTACAAATACCGCACCGGGCCTATAAGCTTGCAAGTATGATGACTTGTGCTTGCAAAAATCACGAGTTGGCATGTCGATAATGTTAAAAATATGAGTCAAACTTGAAGAGTTGGATTTAGAGATCTTGGTTAAATAAAGGTTTGAATTTTAAAAATTATTTTTTTAAAAGAACTAGGTTTGAGGGCCTGATCCTGATAAGCTCTGTGAAAAAGGGCTCGAGCTCGGGAGGCTCTTCAAGTCCTGATAAGCCTGTTTATCTTATATATATACACACACACACACATACATATAATTGATTGATAATGATATAATTTGGTTAATATTTATTGTAAGTAATGAAGAAGAAGTTATAAAGGTAATTGACATTGAATCTTCACCTCCATCTTTAATAAGTGCACTTACATATGAGGAATCTAATATTTTATTTGTAGATGATGAGAATGAAGAGGATTTGTGTTTTGATTAATGAATGTATATTGTTTAGATTTTTGAATATGTTGTTTAATTTTTAAAATATTGTGTTGATTTTAATTTTTTTAATTTCAAAATATTTTAATTAATTTATAACATTTAATTTAATTTTAACTTTTTTATTTTTTTAAAATAGGGCTTCCAGGTCCGGCCCTGAACCCTTTATATAATGGCCAGGCCTCAAAAAAAGAGTTAAAATGGAGAACCGGGCTCAAGTATTCCTAGTTATACATGTCAGGATGTGAAAAATTCAATGATGATGATAAACATACGGGAGGGACCCTACATTAGCATTTTTAAGTTCAGACAAAATGAACTACTTTTTTTATTTAAAAATGTAAAACATTTTTAATCGAATTTTATTTTTCCAATAAAGTAATTACCTACTTTTAAACTAACGTTATCTTTTCATATTTACCCTTATTAAATACTTTATAATAAAAATAAAGTCATTATTAAGAGGGACACTTTTTGAAAAAAAAAGCAATGATTACATTTCGAAAGACTAAAAATGTCTTATATTTTTTAATATCTAATTTCTTAAAAAATACTTTATATTTTTAAATGGAGGGTACTTTTTATTCATAATACTTTTAGAATGTTTGCAAATACAGACTCCAGAAGACTTTCTAGAAAGAGGAGATGGTTCTTATTTTAAGTCGCTAGATTGATGTGTTATTAATTAATTGTATTTTTTCAAATTGCCCTTACTTTAAAAAAGCTAAGTCTGATGCAATTAATTATTTTAATTTTCTCCTTGCCTCTTGGGATGTAGTGTTCTTCCCTTTGTCCATCATGATCAATTTTGAATGTTATGGTATTTTTTAATAAGAATTGAATATTATGGTTTTAAATATAGATAAAGCAGACAACTTTTTCGTAAAGTTTAGCCACAAATTTTAATCATTTTAAGCTTCAACCACCAAAATTATTGGTATCTAGATTCACTATGCATTCAATTTCAGTGCTTATCATGTGATGAACACTATCAATCTAAACAATTTCTTCAACCACCAAAGTTATGGTATTTTTTAATCTAAATGATATAATTTAATATATATTTTTTAAAATTTTTATAAATTGACTATCCAAATTACTTTAATCTAAATGATATAATTTAATATATATTTTTTAAAATTTTTATAAATTGACTATCCAGTTATATCATTTAGATTAAATTTGTATTGTTTAGATTCAAGATAAAGTAAATTTATCAAAATTTTACATTTTATATTTTAATAAATACGTAATAAAATAAAAAATTATAAAAAAATAAAAAAATTCAATCAATATATTTATTGCTAACTTTACCAATATAAATTTAATTTGAAAATTTTAATTTAAGTCTAATTTAACATTAAAAATTTTATACTTTTTATAATTTGAACACCTAAATTTACTTTGAACAATTTCGATATAATTAGGATGATTCAATTTAATTTAAAACTTTTCATAATTTTTATAGATCATCTAGATATACTCTAAATTATCCAAATTTAATGTACTAATTTTTTTATAATTTTTATATTAATAAATATGATATTAAAAATATTTAAAAATTAATTTAAAATGAATGATAGAGATGATTTCAAAGTGAAATGAAAGGCAAAAATTTGGCCATTCCTGATGAGTATACTCGATGCTCATCACTAATCTGAATGCCTGCCGACACGCATGGCCCCTCCCTCTCCTTGTATTGAATCTTGATTTAGGCATTTAAATAGCAACTAGTTTGACAAATTTAAATTTAAATTTTAAATCTCACATTTAGTTATATCTAAAATAGCATATTCAGAATCCATGTATTTACAATTCTTTATTTGGATTGTATAAAAAATTTTAATAGTAAAAGAAAAGTAAGATGAGATTCAAAATAAAAACGAAAGATTAGGAGTGATGAGCTTACCTTTATTATTTAATCAGTGAGAGATGAGAACAAAAAATGAGAGAAGTGATGACATTAATTGAGACACTGATAGTGAAAACGTGAATAAAATTAAATGAAATGATTGATATATATGGAATTTCAAATAATTGGGTCTATAAAAAATTAGAAATTAAAAAAATTAGAATAAAATATGAATTTCAATCTCTAAATATTTTAATATATTCAAAAATATTAAGTTCAAATCCAAATCTAAATCCAAAACCAAACTAAACAATTACTTGGCATCAAACTGTGCGTGATACTCTTTTTGATCTTATTTATAGGGTAGATAGATAAGGTTTTTTTTTTGTGTTATTTAAGATAAGTTTTTTTGATCTTATTTATAAGTTATCTCATTAAATTTTTATCGCAAATTTTTTCATTTAACCTCCATTGAATATTGGAGAGAAAAAATATATTATTAAAATATATATATATATATATATAATAAAAATAAAGTTAAAAAATTATTAAATTTTTAAATAAAATTAATAAATTTTAAGTTTTTCTTTAATTTCAGTGAAACATCTTGAAAAAGCTTTATATATAAGGCCACCAGTACATACAATTCCTCCTCATAACCCTTGTCCATCAGTTCCTTTCTCTTTCTCAACCCAGCATGTCTCTACCATTGTTACTTAGTTTCCATCCTCTCCTCCTCCTTGCCGCACTTGTCTTTACTCTTTCATCGTCATTCCTGCTACTACTATCTCACCTGAAACCAGCGAGGGATGGCCGGAAACAACCGCCAGGTCCACCGGCCTGGCCGGTGATCGGCAACCTCCATCTGTTGGGCACCCTCCCCCACCGATCCCTTCAATCTCTTGCCAAACGATACGGTCCCGTCATGTCCTTACGACTAGGACAGGTCCCTGCTGTTGTGGTCTCATCCCCTGAAGCCGCCGAGCTTGTCCTCAAGACGCACGACGTCGTTTTCTCGAGCCATCCGAGAACTCGGGCGTCTGAGTCCCTGTCCTATGGCTCAAAGGGAGTGGCTTTCTCAGAATATGGTCCCTACTGGCGCAGCGTGAGGAAGCTCTGTATTTTGCAGTTTCTGAGCGCGTCGAAAGTGGAGATGTTTGGTCCCATAAGAAGGGAGGAGCTGGGAGAGGCGGTGGAGTCGATAAAGAAATCGGCGGCGGCGCGTGAGGTGGTGGATGTGAGTGAGAATGTGGGGGAGGTTATAGAGGGCATGATCTACAGAATGATATTGGGGCGCAAGAGAGACGACAGGTTTGATGTTAAGGGAATCGTTCAAGAGGCGATGAGCTTGGTGGGAGCTTTCAATATTGCAGCTTTCTTGCCTTTCTTGGGCCCTTTCGATATTCAGGTATATTATCACTGTTTCCCCCTTCCTTCTCTTGCTTATTCAATTATTTTTATGCTCGACTAATATGAACTCATGCCTTGTTTGTTGCATTTTCTTAAGGATAACATTTTTCTTTGGAAAAAATATTATTTCGAAGAATTTTAGAATGTATATATGAGTTTTTAAACCTAATCAGGCTTAAAAATATAGTTTTCCGATTAGTTCATGATAAACTATTCTGAGTAGATTTTCAAAATAATTAACCAAATGCGAAAGAATATTGATGAAAATACATGTAGTAAAATGACTAAAATCTGCCATTTACTAGACAACAAATTATTTTATATTATTATTATAACAAAATATAAAATATTTTTGAGTAAAGATGCATTTTTGCTCCTAAAGTATTTTACAAGAAACACTTAGCACCCATCACCCTAAACTATTTGGTATAGCATTTTCACTCCTAAAGTAATTAAGATGTGAAATTCTCTACTTTGAAATTAAATACTCACAAACATATGCTAGATATATGGTCAAACTATATTTTCTCATATCATATTAACGATCAACATCTATTATTTAATATCATGGTAGAAAAAGTAATGTTTTAATTATTTTAGGAGCAAAAATGCTACATTAAATAGTTTAAGATGTTGAGTACTTTTCAGAGAATACTTTAAGGGAAAAGTTCACCTTTATCCAATATTTTCACATTTTTTAGAGTTTCTAAATGATAGATTATTTTACACACAAATATTTTCCACAAGTTAATGGAACATTTATGTATAAAATACACATAATCAACAAAACATAGGTGCTATATATAAAGTACAATACCACAAAAGGAGAATTATGTAAAATCCAATACAAAAAATTAATTACTACAAGGTCAATTAATAAATTATTTTTTCTTGTTTTTTAAATCCAAAACAATGTCATTGATGCAAAGCGAGGGAAGGAAAAAAAAATGTAAAATTCAATCTAGTACAACCCATCCAAAACTCTTAATCAAATTGATCAGGGAACCGGTTCATCAATATATTGGTTTAATCGACCAACTTGAATAGGGTTTTAATATATCATGCATCCTAAGTCAGCATGTTCTCTGTTTTACTATGTTTTTTGATTTGGATCTGCTATATAATAGTATGTTTTTTAATATACCATGCATCCTCTTGGCCGAAGAGGTCAAAGCTATTGTTATATATTTCGTAATATTTCCTTATTTTCATCCACATATTTGAATATGTTGTATATGTTTAATTTACTTTATTGATTTTAGCATATCATCTCCAGTTGTAAATTAACCAAAACTTTCACTTGTAATATTGCTAGTAGATGGTTAACCTGTCATAACATTTTTTTCATAAGGTTATCTGATTAGGTTAGATTTAAGCATTGTTGGCCAATAATTATCTTATAAGCACGTTTTTTTGCATTTACAAGGACTCAAACTTGAAAGTAGCATGTATATCTCATACTATCATGGATTTATGAATAAAACAAAACTTGCCTAAAAACTTGTTCCGACAATTAAGATTCTCTTCTGGTAGAATAGTTGGAGTTGACTTCCCTCTTCCTATATTCTCGCTCCTAAGATATCAGTTTTAATAGTCTTCAAGGGTGGAAAAAATAGAAAGAGAGAAGTTAACTCCAAAATAATTTAGATGGAAGGAGATTGAAATAGAAGCTTGGTGGGTCTCACGTAACAAGTGAAACTCACTAAAACTTTATTTCTATTTCTCTCTCTACTTGAATAAACAGGGATTTAATCCTCTAAACTTAAGATCTGTGAATTTATGTAACGTTTTTTTGTTTTTAGTATTGTTTCTAATTTTATTATTTTTTATAAAATATAAAATCTTCATTTCTTCCTTAAAAAATAAATTTTATTGATGTTTACGGATCTCAATTTCAAAGGATTAAAATCCAATAAACAGAACCTACTAAATTTCTATTTCTATATATCTCTCTTTAACTGGATTCTTTAGAGCTCAAGAAAAAAAAAAACCCATAGTCAGGATAAAAGCTCTTATGTTGAAAAGAAGCATTTGGCCAACAAAAAAGAACGGGCTCTTCTACCTCATGAACACACTTTATGCGCACCTTAAATAGTTCAGAGCTTCGAGGTGGCTCTCCTACACACAAGCTTGTTTCAGAGATTTAATGGCTGGAATGTTTAAAATTTGAAGTAACCTAGATATGGACACTTATGGAGCTAAGAAGATACGCGCTAATTATGAATAGACAAACTAATACCCGGATGTATTGGCATGCTTAAATTCACACCTTGCCAAATGTGTTACGTTGATTCATGAAAATCAACATTCAGATAATTTTTAAAGTTTTTAGAGCGGAGTTATGTGTCTTGGAGAATAACAAAACATTCTTTATTATTTTTATAAAAGACTAAGTTTGGTCTCTTGTTCAAATTAATACTAATCTCGATTGATATACGAGTGAAGTGTTTCTTCAAATTGATGTGAATAAAGGGACGTAAATGCCACAGCACCATGGAATGATTTATGAAATACATGAAGAATGCACAAATGCAGAATGGAATGACATCATCTGCAACGGAAAAATTCCACAGAAATAAATTATAATGTAATGAACCTAAATTTTAAATTTGAACAACATTATCTTTCAAGGGATATTTTATTTAAATAATATTTTTTTTAACAAATTTGATTTTATTCTATTTTAAATCTTAGAAGAATTTGGGTTCTTTTTGTAATGTTCGTTGAGTGCTTCTTGTAATTTGTTCTGTGCTTTTCCTGCAATTGTCCCAAACTTCTTTGATCTGATAATACATCTTCGCGAGAAAGAAAGAAAGAAACAGAGCATTCGCATTTGCTTCACCGACTTTGAGTTTTCTCTTCTCATCACCGTCGAACTCCATCTCTTCATCTTCAGCTTGCTTTTCCTCTCACCGTCGGCCTGCATCTGGTTATCCTCGTGCATCTCGGCAGCGAGAAGTGGGAGGCACTAGAATTTGTTCCTTCTTTGCTGCTGTCCCATGTAGAGCGTCCGTGTGCGCATGTGTGTGTTTAGCTTCAATCCTTCTTGCTTTCCATCTGCTGAACGTTTCCTACAGGTGTATGATAAGCTAAATTCCTCTCTTTTTTCTGGTCGTGATTTCTGGTTCTCCTTTTCATGGTGTAATTATTTTTTTTTTTTTAAGTATCCTTAATATTTATTGTAGGGTGTTTAATAAGGAATAAATATAAAAAGATAGGATTAATTTAAAAGTAAGTAACTACCTTATTAAGAGATGAAATTTGATTAAAAATATCTTATTTTTTTAAATAAAAGAAGTAACAAATTATAACTTGCTTTGAAAGACTTGATTGTATTTTTATAAATTTATTTATAAACAAGTTTTTTTATTTGGGACTTACACATGATTTTGCTAAAAATAATTTGGGTGATATAACTTCGAGTGCATTAAAAAATTGACTCTAAAGTTCTATTAAAAAAAAAATTGACTCGAAAGTGAAGTGATGAATTGGTCATCTGTCTAAGTCCAAAAGTTATATGGATGGCCGGTCCTAAAAAATAATATAAATATGTTTTATATTTTCCTACAAACTTTTCTATAGCCAAATTAACAATGTATACTATAAAATTACATATTTTATTAAAAGCATGAGCATTATATATATATATATATATTTCAAATCACATTTTATTTTTATTTTTTAAATTATGAATATTTATTAACATTTTAAATTATATTTTTAACTTCTTATAAATGTATGGGATCTTTATTCCCTTTACTTTTGAATTTTTTTTTCTTGTATTTTGTATAGTATTATTAATCTATCTAATTTAAAATAATTGACGTACAATTAAAAGATTTACCAATTTAATTAAAATCCGTTTCCCGTGATTCGCCACATGAAGCTTTCAGGTCACTTTAATCTCTTCGCGAAAAACCATAGCAAATCAGCCCAATAAAAGAAAAGGACTATTATCATAATTAGCAATATATATCCTTGCCTTTTCAGCTCTGTTACTGCATGTAGTGGAGATCTGACAATTTTATATATTTTGTTCTTTTAATTTAAATTTTTAAATATTCATTTAAGATTAATTAAGTTTAATTAAATATTATTTAATTTTATTAGTCAATATTCAGTTTTAAAATTTTAACTATCTAAATTTATGATTTTAAAATATAAATAATATTTTCAATATTTGTGCACAATTGCTATTTTATTTTATTTTATTTATGCAGATCTTTTAAATTTAATTTAAAAGATATCAATAAAAATTATTTTGGATAAGAAGAATATGAACATACTTAAAGACCAAATCAAGAATTAAATCTTTATAATTTTATTTAAATTTATTTTGAATTATTTAATTAATTTTTAATTAGGATTATTTAAAATAGTTTTATTTTTTTAATAAATTATTAGTTTTTTATTAGAAAAGAAAGAAAGAGAGACGCACACGCATAGGAGCCACATCACTTTCATACATAAAAGAAGAAACATATGACGTAGGAGTGGGGGCTTCCTCTGATAGCAACGATTATAGTTCATCTTTTCTTCAATTCCTTTTAGTGATGGCTTGTCAATTTCTCATTTCATATTTCTTAATTTTTAATTTTATGGATTGTTAATTTTTTTGATGTGATCAATCACAAATTATGATCCTAAATTTTAATTAAAGCCTTTGATATTGAAAGAAAATTTTATTTTAGCTTCATTCTAATTTTCTCTTCCTTTTACCTATAAATTTTATGCTTTAACTGCTATTGCAGATTCAAATAGCTTTATTGCATAATTTTGGGTTATAAATTTTATCTGAGTTTTTACTTGCTATAATCGATTAATATAATAACTTAAGAGTAATTTGGTTTGGCTTGAGTGATTACTTACGCTTTATTTTTGATGTGGCTAATATAAAACAGTTGTTAGGTTGTGGGTTAAGAGAGATTTTAATTAATCTACAAGATTTCTTGTTTAATTCTTGAATAATAATTTGAAAAATATATAATAAAACTAAAATAATAAAGTTAAATAAAATTAATTTAATTTGTGAACGAGGAAGATTAAGTTTAGGTGATTGAGTTGTGATTAATTGCGTTGCTTGTTCTTGATAGTTTTCTCAATTAAATTCTCTTTATTTATTTAATTTTAATTTATATTTTTTAAATTAATTTTATCATAAAAAAAAACTTTCATTATTTACCTTTTTATAATCATAATTCAAATAGTTACTCTATTAATTTTTAGGAAGACAACCTAGGTTGTATTTTATTATAAAATTTAATTTTTATTAATTTTAGTATTATTTGACAGTAGTGTCACTTCTCATCTAATAGCAAGCTAAGTCTCAATGTTGATTATAGGGCTTTCTTATCCATAGTTCAAGAACAGCAAACAAAACACCAAATAAGGGATGCTTGGAGCTCGTCTCTCATAATATATAGTAAATCAATATTTAAATTTCTATAAAAAAAAAATGCTTATACTTAATGCCTGACAAGATTTCAAACATAATTACTTTTAATAGAAAGATACCTATAAGAAACAAAAAAAAAAAAACTGCAAATAAGACTTTCTGAAGTTATAGAGTTACTCGTCTACTTGAATTAGATGTCTTAAATTCGAGATTTCAAAATAGAAAAGGACTATTGGGTATTCAGTAGCCGCTGCTTTGTTTCCCTAATCCTATATTTTCCTCCATGTAATATTTGTGCAACAGAGAAACGAATAATTGAGAACAGAGACAAGTTCTCACGTGGAACGCTAAACACTTGCTAGCTTCTCTATCTGATATAATTGCCCCTCTATTAGTGTATGCATGAAACTTTGTGATTGGTGCTTTATTTCATTTTATTTTATTTTTCGAAAGAGAAATAATTTGTGTCCACAACTTTGTCATTGTGAACTGATGGATTTAGAAAACTTACCTCGATGCCAATTACTCCAATCTTCAACCTTAATAGTTAATACACAGCAAATGTCAGGCAGGGAATCAGGAGAGAGTCGCATAGAAGAGTCTTCAAAGAAATTTTTTTTTTTTTTTTAGAATAACTTCTTCGTATCCGTTTCTCTCTCAACTACCAATGCATCTGTCAGATAATCGTTGCCTCCTTCATTTTGAAAAATGAGGACAAGGAGTTAGTCATACTTTGATACTTATATATTTAATATATTTGGATGATAGCCCAATCCAACAAAATGGGCTTAGGTTAAGCCCAATCCACCAAGGGTGGGTTATTGACTAAATCCAACATGAACAAAAGAGAAATCACAGAGTCCAAGGCATGAAATATTTCCATCATCAATTGATTGATTAATTAAAAGTTAAAAGCATGAAACTCACTTTAACTAAAGACAAAAAAACAAAGATGAAACTCATCTAGCTCCTTCTTGTTTATTCTTTGTGCATGTGTGAGGCACATCCATGTGCGGAAGCTGAGTACTGAAATCATTGTTGATATGAGTTATGACCATTACTTTATCTTGATATTGGTTTGATTAATAAACCAACAAAAGAAAAGGAAAAGAAAAAAAATATGAACGTTCAGGCTATTTTAAGTAATCGGGGCTCATTATTATATATTCCGTCTTATTCTATTTATAATTAAATTTCAATATGTTTTATTAAAATTAAGAAAAGCATTAAATCTAATTATATTTATTTTAAAATTTAATAAGTTTTTACATCTATCCCCCAATAAGAACAAAAAAACTATGTCTAATACTTTTTTTAGTGTTTAATAATCACAAAAAGGTCAAAATGAATAAAAAAAAATAGTAAAGTGTACTATAAATAAGATCAAAATTAACCTTCTATATTCACCCTATAAATAAGACTAGAGAAGTAATATTCAATTCATCAATCATATATAACTTTTTAATAATTAACAAATTTATTTATCATTAATGTAAACACTATGCGCATTAAATTATTGTTGATTAAATTTCTTCTTTTTTGTTTGAGAATAAAAGCATGATCACTTTTGTGGTGCTCATGAGCACTAGCAACCACCTTCTCCCTTCTTTAATTTTTGTGCTGTGTGTGTTCCTAATTTGGAGCTGACAAAGTGGCTATTGAATATTAAAATGTGAAGCTGTAGCTCATGCATGTACTCCCTCCAGTATCATTTATAGAATACATTTTAAAAGTAATTTTTGTCTAAATTATAATACCTTATAATAATTAAATTATTTTTTAACTTTACCTTTTCTTGATTAGTATAAAGGTATTTATTATAGTTTTATTATAATTTAAAATTAAGGATACAAATAAAAGTACATTTCTTTTTCTATAATATCAAGAAATAAAATTAACTTTTTTTAAAATACATAAAATAATTTTAAGTATCTTATAATAAGGATAGAAAGAAATATAATGGTATGGAAAACCATTATTGTCCCTCATGTGTGTGTCTCCACACACACACACACACATATGTATGCATGTATATATATAATGTATGTATGTATGTATATATAAAAGAAATTATCAGTGACCCATGTACACTATAAGCACACCATATATATTCAAATATGCCATCTTGAAATATCTTTTGACTCCAGTATTGTCAATTATACACCCAGGTATCATTTTGTGCATATACATATAATCTATGTGATGCGGTTCACCTCAAGTTATATTCTATTTAGGGCACAAGTCCATACGTTCTGGTTTAATTGGAGCAATGTTAGTAATATTTTTTCAATAATTTTGATGCTGCAATAATATGTATACTTCAATATCACGAAAAGGGCTACCCATAAAAAGTTCTGACTAGCAGGAGTGTGAGTAAAGTGTCGTGGAGTGAAGTCGTCAAAGACGTCAGCTCTTGACGAGATAGCATTGTCATAAGTTCTACATTGAGGAGCCTCACAAGTAGTGCTGGGTTTATAAGTTCAGGAGGCTCTTCCTCATAATAAGCTAGCCTTTTGAAATGCGCTCTTACTTTGGACTTGTATTTGTCACATTAATGCTTTTTTATTGAGAGGCCAATGCCATGAAAAGGGTTGACCATGAAGGGTTCTGACCGACAGGAAGTTGAGTAAAGTGCTATGGAGTGAAGCCGCAAGAGATGTCGTCTCTTGACCATGAAGGGTGGCATTATCATAAGTTTCACATCAATAAGCCTCA